GCTTAGCTCAGCTATTTCTCCTCCTTATACTTCCGTCAATTTTGACAAGAGCTCCAAGACCTGAAATGCAGTCCCCAAACATGAATCCTGTCATGTGCTGTAGACCATTTTCCAGGCCTGAGGAGCCCATGTCCAAAGAAAGCTTTTTAGCACCTTCAGGAGTCCTAGAGAACTAGACCACTTTAAAGAAACAAAGAAGCTCCTTGAAAGCAGAATAGAAAAAACAGTATAGCTTCTCGCTCTGTGACAGGAAGTAAGCAAGTAAGGTGGGAGGCAAGAGGAGACGACAGCTTGGTGAACCAGTGCGCGTCTGCTTTAATTTAAACAGTTAACAGCTGTATATTTCCTTGTCTCCTGACACTGCAGATTAGTCTGATAAGGTCTGTGACTGCTGTGCACAGAGCAAAATGCCACACATTTGCAGCTCTGAAGTGCCTCCCATAATTTAAATTTTCTCCAGCATAAATATTCAGTACATTAGTTGCCAGCAACAGCCCTGGTCTAAACCCTGGCACCAAGTCAGGGTTTGTTTGTTCGTGAATCACTGCTAGCAGGTACTCGACTCTGTTTACCACATGAGCTTTGCTTTTGTAGAAATGCTCCAGCAAAATTTTCCAGTCAGATTTGACCTTCATCAAAGTCACTCAGAAAAAACTGCATGATTGAAGGTGACGCTGAAGGAGGCGCTAGAAATCTTAAGGAAACATCTAGAGGAACATGATTTTCAAGCACAACGTCAAAGAATAGAATTTACAATAACTTGCTAATAACTACAATAGAAATTATGACTGCATATATAATATATAATAGAATAGAAATATAAGGCTGACATGATGTCATCAAGGCTGGATATGTTGAGAAGTTATCCTCTCAAATTATTTAACATATAAATTATTTAACACAGTAAAATAATCTATGAGCTCGGGACAGTGTGCCTGGGTGGAGCACTATCAGAGAATGGAGAAGAATAGCTCTGTGACATGCACATTGCAATTAGACATGTCCTTATCTTTTTGGAGACTAGCACTATCAAAAATATACAGAATTATTTACCATCGTGAGCCACAGTTCTGAGGTTTAGCTGAATCTATGATAAATGCCAAAGATAACAAACTCTGGCAGGGAAAAGTTGTGTTTTTGCACCAACAAGGTGATTCCCAAAGAGTTATTAGCAAAAACTTTGGCACATCTCGACACGGTGTGCAGTGTGTCTTTTAAAAACATGGCCAAGGGGAGGACAAAAGAATTGGCAAATGCACAGAATCTGAAAGTCACGTCCTTAAGACACAGGAAAAAATCCCACAAAACACTGACACAGGCCTTTGCTGGATTATTTCAGAAATGTATTTATTAGCTGAATTGCTTAGTACATAGTCTGCATTTATCAAAGACACCTTCACAGTTTTAATAAAAACTAAGCATTAGGGCAGTTTCAGCAATGCGCCATGAAACAGTATACAGTTTCGTTGTGTAATTAATTCAGCCACACAAAGCTCAACTACACGTATTACAGCCACCTCAATGACATGATTACATTTTTAAAAATGTAGAAATCCAGTGCTTCAGGTAGGCAAAAGTTCAAGTCCAATTAAGTCATGACAGCATGGAACAATGCAGAAATAGTGACTATAATGAGGACGACATGCCGTGTTGACGCTCTGGGCTTGTGCTTGGCCTTTTTGTAGAAATGATATTTAAATGATTTTTCTGTACTCACTTAGTGGGAGCAGAAAATCAGGTCTCTCGCTTTTTTTCCTCTGCTGTTTGGCTGTAGGTGGTGCACTCCGTGCTTGATGTGGAACGTCCTCTGATTCAGGGCCAGCTCAGCGACATCGACGCCCAGCTCAGAAAGGCAGAGGACAGTCTGAACTGGAACAGCCAAGGTCTGCACATTTACTGATTAGTAGCCAATACAGCTCCAGACAAATGACACATTTAAATATGTCAATTTCTGCTGTCAGTCTGGTGACATTAGTTACGACAGTACTCAACTGACACCACAGTACAATGGAGATGGCATCACTTTGCTGAAGAAATCATGCAAACCCAGTACTTTTATTTTTTTAAGTGTTCTGTGAGTATTGAGATTGACAGAGTTTAGTGCTGATAACATCCCTGCAACACTAAACGGACGTCATGTCTATGATTGAACCGTGTTTTCCA